AATCGCTACATCGCTTAGTTTCTTGGCCTCTTCCCACGATATGGTACTTATCCGTTGATGGGTAAAAGACGAGTCATTCGACCAAGAATATAGCCCAAGCATTTTGATTGTCCCCTCTCCCCAAACACTATCGACTGAGCAGTCCATTGGCGAAATTCTGAATGTTTCGACGACGTTCGCATTTTTTGCCGATTGTTTCCGTACAACCTATTGCTAAAAAATAGGATCAGTTGGTTTTAATTAGTAGATGTTTGAAAAATCGGAAACTGAATTTTTCGTTAAGTTCGCAATTGAGTGAAATTAATATTTATATGTAATATTACTTACACTTCAGACCATCGGTTGACGTTATCGAACTTTATCGATTTCTGAAGACAAATGCATCTCAGTTCAACCATTTGTGGCCAAATTGCCGGCGTAATATCGTGGCAACCCCTTTCTTACAATTAACCCTTCTACCTATGTGCATAACCCCCGCAGTCGCACTGGGCGAAACTAAGTAAATAATTTTATGTTCAACCAGTTTCTCTAACGAGGCCAAACTCCTTTTCGCAAATTCCTCATTTACAACGCACAACTGTATCCGGAATAAGGTATGGTCGTTCGTTTACCTGTGGTGGTCCTGCCGCTTATCTGTGCCTATCAGTATAGTCGAAACCAATGTTGCTGTCGGCATTTAACCGTGGTGTTTGGTCCTTCGTTGGAGCAACTGTTTCCGTTCCATGCAACAACACTGACCTGACACAGGCAACGCATTATTACTATGTATTATCCCCAGTTCCGGTATTTTCAGATTACAAAATGCACCGAATAGTGCCATCGTTACAGGAGTTGTAACGGGATAATTAAATAATTCGACTGCCTCTGGATTCCATTTTCTATCTCCCTAGATAATCAGCTGTGTCTAATGGGTTCTTCGCAACTTCTGATTTCCTGGTAATAAGTTGAAGGCCGAATTTCGTAGCTGTGTCTTATACAGAATCCGACAGCTAGTGAAGCCTGCTCCCTGTACTACTCACAACGACAATATCAATTACATAGTCTTGGTCAGTAAGATATCTAACCGGATATCTTAAAGCACCATTCTTCA